ACACCCACACCCACACCCACACCCACACCCACACCCACACCCACACCCACACACCCGCACGACATCTTTTTCGTCCTAACACATTCCATTCTGTATATTGAGTCTTTTCAGAAAAAAAGACGACGAGTACTACAATGAGTACTTAGGGTCTTGCCTATAAGTAGATGTGTAGTGAAAGATTCGTATGAGTACGCATGTAAGTACTCAGCCATTTTACATACTGATGAATTTTTGGGAGTACTTGCTCGAATAATTTGAGTACTCATGCTGGCAAGTCGTACTCTCTGGATGAGTATATTCACTAGGATGTAGATTGCATCTTCAAAAATCGTACTACGACAGCGACTATTACGATCACTGAAAATAAAATGATAGCATCAACATAGATATAATGAACATAGTGTGTACCCATATCTCGACTGTTTAGCAACTTAGTATGCTTAAAATTTCATTCATATTCCGATTTTTATATTGATAGTATTGAACGGTTATCGTTCGAATCACGAGAAGCTGCAAGAGTTTTTTCTTCAAGTTTAATGGAATTGCATATCAATGTCGAAGATTTTACTGATTGTCTTTATTTGCTCGACGATCGTTTCAAACAACTTCATATCTTTTATGTTAATGTTCATTATTTTATATATCCACCATCAGCGATTATAAACAAGGTAGATTATTTAATTTAAGAAAACGAATGAATTTTTATTACTCTTTTTTTGGGCAAGAATTAATCCATTTGAAATGTTTTTCAATAACTTCTGGCTTAGAAATAATGTTTCATGGACAATTGATTATACCTTGAGTACAATGGATGTCGAATTTAGAAGAACTAATCTTGGATCTTCCCAACGGCCGTAACATTCGTTATAAGTCATTTATTGTTGGAAATAATTTTTCGCCACTTATTTGAAGAGTTAAACCAGTTGAATAATACAAATTCTTAGGACATTGTTCAACTGATTGACATGATACAACTATATCTACAATTATGTAAAATAGATTCATTAATTTTAAATATTTTCCATTTACCTTTGCCATAATCCTACATGCATATATTCGATATCTCAACTGTAAAAGTGAATCATTTTAGAATTCTAGACAACCTTTTCCATAACTATTAAGCTAACAAAACACTCATAAGCGAATGGAAGATAATGACAAACAAACAAACAAAGTTTTTCGTGAAATTATTTTAAATATTCTTTTTTCGAAAACAGTGCATACAATAATTGCCAGCGTGCTCAATATGCTATCAGAAAATTAATGAAAAAGATTTCCAAGTATCATACCTTTCCGAAAGTTAAATTCATATCGATAGTTCATGTCACGCATAACTTTATAAACTTACAAGATGTCACTAAATAAATCCCAACTTTAATCATGAGCTTTAGATGACTTCATCGGACAGAATATTCGTTCGTCTTGTAGTCTAATATAGAATATACATAGAGAACACTTCTTCACAAGTTATTATATTTATCCATTTCTGTTAGCGATGGCCATGACCAATAGCATAGATACTCTCTGTTTCTTTCTCCAATAAAACCAAGGTTTCGAATGCAGATCTACAACTTTGTCTACATCAAGACATCGATCAGACTAATTTACCTTCAAAGTCTCAGAACTTTTAGATAAATTGTCTTACGAGAAAACGACCTGAAGTGCTAAAAATCTTTTCTGTCGGATATATGACGGTTAGATAGGACATACCTAGAAGTTATATATCCTAAGTTGGTTCGAGTTCAAGTTGCTTCTAGCAGGAGCTATGAATTTTTCAAGTTATAAGTGACACAGCCAGTTTTGCTCATGAATCTTAGTTGTCACGAATAAGTAATGACGTATTGAATGAAAAATTTTGTTATACCTGTGTCAACTAGTGATCTTGATTGTTTGTAAATTGCAGCTCAAAAGGATAAAGATATCTAGAGAAAGATAATTTGCAAAAAAACTTTTTTACCTTGCTTCATAGCTTTTCATATTTCACTACTTGATGATCAAAGAATCATTTTAGCATGTTTTTTGAGACTATTCTCGAATTCAGACAGATTATCTATGGAAGAGATATAAAAACTTGTTGTTTTCTTTTTCATTGATATGAACAATATATTCATAAGTCCGTTATCATGAGTTTGATAATTAATGAACAAATCTTGAAAAGATCATTTACAAAAGTACATGTTTCATATTGATGAAAAAAGAATGCAATAAGTTTTTATATGACTTTCATAGATAATCTGCCTGAACTCGAGAACAGTCTCAAAAAGTGTGCTAAAGCGGTTCTTTGGTCATCAAGTAGTGAAATATAAAAAGTTACGAAGCAAGGAATAAAGTTTTTGAAAATTGTCTGTCTTCAGACGTCTTTATGCTGTTGAATTGCAATTTACAAATAATCAAGATCACCAATTGAGACAGATATAACAAAATTTTTCGTTCAATACGTCATTGCTTATTCGAGACAACTAAGATTCACGTGGAAAACTAGCTGTGTCACTTATAACTTGAAAAATTCATAGCTCCTGCTAGAAGCAACTTGAGCTCGAAGCAATTTAGGATACGTCACTCCTAGGTATGTCCTATCTAACTATCATATACTCGACCGAAAAGATTTTTAGCACCTCGGATAGTTTCCTCGTTAGAGATACTAATATATTGGTATAAAGACGTTTTTTTTATGGATATTGTATTATGCATGAATGTTTTGGAAAATACATATCTCTGAGATAATTTCTCCAAAAGTCTTGCGATAAAAACTATAGTAAAAAATCGATATTTCAGCCAAATCGCAATTTGAGCGCATATCCTTTTATTTTGCTTTGTAGCCTATACCATATCTATTTGTGAGGCAAACTTGAGCTCAATAGCTTCTTAGCAGCTGGTGAGGTTCCCTCGTGAGATAAAGTTCGATAATCATTCATTCATTTTATATAATCCGTTGATTCTTCTTACCGTCGTCACATATTCTTCTCTCTTCATAGTAAGCACATATATTTAATAAGAAAAGTCATAGTCCACTATTTAGTCATTTACTCAAGTTTTCACCCTCTAGATTTAGCAAGAATATCACTAAGAAATTGGAGAATAGTAAAGAGAGATTTATATGATTAGGCCACTGATTGGTTGTTCTAGAAATTTATGCGAATTGGAACTTTGCATCAGATCAGGTAAGGTAAACTCGACGAGTCCTCCATCAAGCGCATCAGTTTCGATATTCATTCTTTCTGATCGATTCGTTGCGTGTGTTGATCATACACATTGGATTGATAGTATAGAGGAGTTGTCCAAACTGTATTGCACAAACAAGGACTTGTTGGGATTATCAACTTGATCCGATGCGGAACGCTAATGCAAATGACTCTTTTATAATAAAATATCGTGTAAAGTAGGTTTCACTGTTTTTTATTCCAATATTTGACTCTAAAAAATCCAATATAATAATTCAAAAACGAAGATCATGGTTTCGATTAGTGAAGAGTGAATACAATGTATATAAATCCATATTAAAAATAGTAATATGCACCTTCACTAATAAATAAAATGACTCACTCTAGCTTAAATTTTTATCCTCAAAATAGTAATAAAAATATTTAATAAAAAAAGGAAAAGGATTATTCTTGAAATGTAGAATGGATGAGAGTCTCGACATTTGAGAAATCATTCTTTACACTTTTATTGACAATTTTTATCTCTTTTTGCGAATAAAATGAAACATTAGAATAATATCTATCAAAAATCTAAAATATTTCTTCAATAAAATAAATATTTCTATTAAAGATATGATTCTGATGACAATAATTCATTTATTTCTCCTTCTTGTGGCTTTATCATTATCAACAGCTACAAATTTTGAACAATTTGGTCTTAAACTTTATTCAACTGTTAATCAAAATAAGAAGAATGAAAATATATTTCTTTCACCAGCAAGTATTTCTCTTGCAATGTCAATGTGTGCAGTTGGTGCTCAACAAGAAACATTAAATCAAATGTTAAAAGCATTTGAAGTGTCATCGGAAAACGAATTAATAAAGACAGCTGAACAAATTATGGATATCTTTTCTATTGCTAATCAAGATAAACAAGTTCAACTTAAATTAGCTAATCGTCTTTATGCACAAAAAGCATATCAACTTCAAGAAGAATATTTAAAAATTGTTCAAAATTCCTTTAAAGCAGACATTAAACTTGAAGATTTTGAAAATGAAAGTACTCAAGCTGTTCAAAGAATTAATACATGGGTTGAACAACAAACAAATAATTTAATTCGAAATTTGCTTTCAACAAGAGATGTAACACCTGATACAAGATTAATAGTTATTAATAGTATTTATTTTAAAGTAAATATTTATTTTAATCAAAGAAAAATAATTTCTTTTTCTTTTTTTTTTTATTAATTAAATCATAGGGTACATGGATAAAAGAATTTAACAAAAATTTCACAAAACAAAATGCTAATTTTTATGAAACGAATGGTAAAATTTCTACAGTAGCATTAATGTATCAAAAAGGAACATTTGCTTATGCTGAGAATAACGATTTACATGTACAAATTGTTCATGTACCATATAAAAGTGAAAATAAAGATGTTGAATTTGTTTTTACGGTTATTTTACCTAATCGAGGAGTTCAATTAGATGTTGTAGAAAAAAAGTTAGCATCACAACCTGACTTAATGCAAAAATTATTTAGTCGTGAAAATACAAGAACAGAAGAACTTATTTTATATTTACCGAAATTTAAAATGGAAACTACATTTGAATTAAGTGATGTTCTTCAACAACTTGGAATGAAAGATGCATTTAATGATCATAAAGCAAATTTTACGGGTATTGTTAGTGCAAAAAATAATCAAAACCGTTTATACATTAGCAAGGTAAACCATTTATTGATAAGAAAATGTTAATCAATATAATATTTTAGATTATTCACAAAGCGCTTATTGATGTAAACGAACAAGGTTAGTTTTTTTTTAAAGTAGTCTGTTGATAAAGACAAAGGAGAGAGAAGGTTATTTTATTTTATCGTAATTATAAAGTTTCTAAACGAACACGAATAATGATGGGACGAGAAAAATATGTTTGGATGATAATGAATGTAACAAATTAAATTTAAAGCTAATTGATCATATTTCTACAGTTGAAAAAGAGTTTTATTTCTCAATTATTTCGAGCTACATGGACCAAATTCCATCAAAAAATACGCCAAAATGTATTACATCAAAAGTTCTATTGATATCAACTTTGGAAATTTTTTTAGATCCATTCTTGACTTTCGAATCAAAAAATATAACAAATTGAAATTTTTCTAAAATAGTCTTTTAAAAGAACTATTAGTTAGGAAGGATCTTAGCCATAATCTCTAGAAATCGTGCAAAATGAATTCTATATGTCAGATCATAGAAACTCAGCAGAAAAAAAAGGATTTTTTATTGCTGCAAAAATGTAAAGTAATAAGAACGATCAAATTCTATAGTCTCCTTTAGAAAAAGCTATATTTTAGTATAATAATCAAGAGTAAATTTAATTTCGAACACATCATTTGAAAGAGCATTGTTTTTGTTTGCTACAAAAATCATCATTAAACATATTTTTTCATTTCATTTCTGGTACAAAAAAAATTAACAGAAAATAGAAAATGATGTTGTGTAATGATTAAATTTCAAGAACATTTTTCACAGATGTTTGCTTTTGAACTTTTCCTGTTTTTGAGATTCGTTCTAGAAAAATATGTTTATTGCAAACCTTGTAATTGAGACATTGCTCTTTCGAACAAAAAAAAAACTCGATTGATTTAGAAGTTGCCAATATAGTCTAACAGGGTTTTATATTTTTGCACAGACTTTTGTATCTCATGTTATATTCTGTTGCTTTCGTTAAGAATGAAATTACAAATCTAAAGTATTCGGATCTTGACAAATCAGAACCTGTTTATGTGAAAAAATAAGATCAACAATGAGGCTATAAATGAATTCTACTACTCAGAACTCCTACAAAGTGCTCTGTTGAAACATATTTCAACAGAAGAAAAAACCTTAGATTGTTTAATGAGAACAAAAAACAAAAATTGCATGGGAAGGAATAGGATTGTGCCAATCAATTCGAACCGCTGTTTTCTTATCTATGATTCGAATAACATTTTAATTAACCCTAGTACTACCAGCCTGGGTCATTTTTATCCGTTCTGTTGAGGGGATATACAGGAATGAAAAAAGGTCAGTAGCACGAGGGTTAATGTTGATAGCTGTTATTCAATTGTTTTAACTGATTGATATCGTTAAAAAAAGAACAGTTTTAGCTTTTATTTTTTTCAGCAAAGGATCGAAAGGAATCTCTACTACTGCTATAGAGATTACGGAAAAACATCGAAAAGTAGGAAAAATCGTATTCATTGAATTTGACAATTACCATTTGGTTTTGTTTTATATTCGAAAACTTTTAAAAAAATCTCACGTTGTTAACTAGAAAGTTTCTTAGATCTACAAGTTTATCGTGTTGATATATGCTTCAATATTTGCGTATGTAATATTTACTCAGAAAAGTACATATTTTTGATATATTAAAATAAAAAGATTGAATGTTTGCACTAAATCTTTGATATCCACTTGAAGACACGTTTAGCAATTCATAGATTTTTCTTTATCTTTTTTTCTTTTATTCCATTTAGGATCAGAAGCAGCAGCAGCTACAGCCGTTATTATCATGTCTTTTACTACATCATTCCATCAGCAACCACATCCCATTGAATTTAAAGCTGATCGTCCATTTTTATTCTTCATTCGTGAAAGTCGACAAAATACTGTCTTATTTTGTGGCAGATTTATTTCACCACCAACAAACTCATAAATGAATTATTTCAAGAATCTTATACTTCATAATTCGCACATCTTTGATTTCTTATCAAAATGAATAATAAATATTGATTAACTTTCATTTTATTATTTACTTTTAAAAGAATTTAAAAGATTTTTTGTGCAACTTCATAAAAAAAATTATAAAATACATATAAGAACTTGTAACTTTTAGCAGCGAACATAAAAGCGTGTATTAACATCGCAATATCTATTATATATGAAAACGGGGTGGGGTGTGGGTATGGGTGTGGGTGGGTATTGGGTACGACTATGAGCGAACAGAAAAACACGTCCATACCCACGCCCACACCCTAGTGAACGGAAAAACGCCTGCTTACCCACACCCATACCCACACCCACACCACACACTTACACCCCCGCCCAAGTATATTATGATACCACTCCTACTAAACAAAAACAATAATAAGATAAAGGGCGAAACAAGTTAAAATCGTCATATTTGTTTTTTTTCCAAGTGACAAAAGTAAAGTGAATGTGATAGATAACAGTCTGTTTAGATATTGAGAAAAGACGCTTTAGAAAATGTAAGAATGCCCAATATTATTATACGTTGCTGTTGGACATGTTCAACGCATGAGATGAAAGATAATTATGAAAAAAATCTTGGGCAGTAAAAGACTAGAGAAGATCTCATTTGACCATTCTATGGTTTTGTTTTGATCTGTCGAGGATCACAACATTGTTTTTCACATTTATGTACTTAAATACCGGTGGTTTTTTGGAACGGTATCTCTGTTAATCGTTAGCTGTCTGATGATGCAGAAGAGCCATCTGAAATTTCGTGTGAAAGTCTTACCAGTAAAAAGCTGCAGTTTAGGTCTTCATAGACCCACAAACATCTTGTGTGTTACGCAGATAGTTTTTATTCATATTACAACTGCCATCCACTCTTTCGAGATTTTATTTACTAAAGATTCGTTGCTTCGTCACTGTCAATAGTGAATCATGTGGTTTTTTTTGTTATTTGTCAAACAGATAAGAAAAACAATAATTCAAAAGAATGAAGCTTAATTCCCATAAACTTATAAGAAAAATACAAACAATTTCAGCGTTCTAGTGATGTTGTTTGCTGTTATCGATTTTTAAAAATAAAAAACGAAACAATAAAGTGGCTTGTTTTGGTTATAGTGGCTGTATATATAACGACACTCACTTTATGTACTATAGTCATGTGTACTGTTTATTTGATAGCATTTGTTTTTACAAATACGATCGTTTTCATACACTACAACCATACCAACATGTTCTTAATTCCAAGAAATCATGGTATTGACTTTGGTTCACCAGGGTGTGGGTGTGGGTGTGGGTGTGGGTGTGGGTGTGGGTGTGGGTGTGGGTGTGGGTGTGGGTGTGTGGTGAGTGTGGGTGTGTGGTGTGTGTGGTGAGTGTGGGTGTGTGGTGAGTGTGAGTGTGGGTGTGGGTGTGGGTGTGGGTGTGTGGTGAGTGTGGGTGTGTGGTGTGTGTGGTGAGTGTGGGTGTGTGGTGAGTGTGGGTGGATCTGGATCTGGGTGAGGATATGGGTGTGTGGGGTGTGGGTGAGGGTCTGCCTCTTGTTTCACTCACAGCCACAGCCACCAACACCCACACCCAACCCGCACCCACACCTAACCCACACCCACACCTACAACCGCACCCACACACCCACACCCACACCCACACCCACGCTCACACGCACACCCACACGCACACCCACACGCACACCCACACGCACACCCACACGCACACCCACACCCACCCCCACCCCACCCACACCCACACCCACCCCACCCACACACACACCAAATACGACAGAGTCAAACGCCAACTGACGATGAATTCCTTTTAATCTCGTAGTTGTGAACTTTGGATCTTGGCATTCCGAAACTCTATCTCACCCTTTAAAAGCAGTAAAACCTTTCACCTTTCACCTTTCACCAGTCTATAGTTAAAACGGTGTTATAACGAAATAATAACGTTCTCCGACTCCTTTTATTTGTAGGTCTAGTCTATCAGCGCAGCACGAGCAGCATGCAGCGTACAAACAACAATATCAAGATAGTGAGTATCACTTGCATAATAATAACCACCACTAGGACGAGCACCAAGAACAAAACGGAGAACGTCATTACCGTCACGAGAAACATACCGATGATTATCATAAAGATCAATATAACCATGACCAGCATAATTATCATTATCATCAAGATCGTCATTATTACGAAGAACACGACGAGAATTATCGAGACGACAACGAAGATAATCACACATACGATCAAGCAGATCATCTACAAGATAATGACGATGCCTATAGATAACATCATCATATTCATAATGAGTAAGATAACTAAGAAGATCATGATTAAGAAGAAGATCAAGAACAAGTTCATCAACACGATTACGAAGAGAACGATCCCCAGGGTTACGGAGATCGCGATGAACATTAAGACGAAGATAATCAGGACGGCCAGAAACACGAGGAAGAAGATCATCAGCTATAGCAACGAGGTGACGGAGCATGTGACGGTAATCATTATCATAAGCCGATTTCGGATCAAATGAAGATAGCGGATTCCTTGACGTAATAGATTTTGTAGTACCTAAATAAAAAAGTTGAATCTTTGTAGCCAATGCGAAAGAAGTTTTTGATAGTTATTTGTTTAGGAGAGAATAGCCTGAAAACGTGTAGTTGCTACAGAATTATGACTGAGAGGTATACACTTTATCTAAATTGATCCTCCAATCAGTCGAAAATTGTTAAAACTCAATTGTTGTCAATTAGTCTATCCTATTCTCGGTCGCTTTCAACGATTTCTAGTTATTTTCAGCGACTTGTTATTGGGTGAAAATCAAAAAAAAGTCACCGAAAAGTCAGTTAAAATCACACAAATTGAAAGTCATGGTTTCTCACTTTGTTATAGTCGTACAGTGGCAATCGAAATAGTTTTGATAATTAATAAGCTAGCGGTGTTAGTCATAGATAAAGTCTCTAAAGGATTGATGGTATGCATATTTTCAGTTGAACTGGAAAAGTAAATTCGCTAGTGTTTCTCGCCTGTTTTAAAAGCAAATAACATCATTCTTCAATAGAGACGGCTCACACTTTTTGAGCTTAGATATGTTAGGAATAAATTCGATTTTTCGGAAGATGAAGAGGTGCTTCTAAATAATACAGACAAGGAGAGTTTCTATGCTCCTTCTGTGTACCTGCGCATCGGCACACATTTGACCGGT